AGTGGAGTCTACGGTTGCAAACATGAGGCCACCGCTACACATATTATACCAGACTCGGGTTCCTTTCTGACGAATCATCAGCTAGTTACGACCAATGGAGATGTACAGAACCTACGGGGTAGGGGTTGGGTGGAGGGATACCCAACAGACTCCAGATTGTCATGGGTGAAGTTATTCATGTCGCAGATGAGGGGGGTGAAGATGGGTCCTTGAAATGTGAGAGGGTTTTTAAAGGGGGAAACACAGATGTTTTCAGGTTAAATTACAACCCTCGATGCAACCCTATATCAGAAGCATAAATGATGGCGGCACAGGCCTTGAGGCCAAATTGCAAAAAAGAGTTGAAAGAGTCATAAACATAAGCATGGCTGGGGATTGAACCCGGAAGCTGGGGATTGAACCCAGAAGCCAACTACCATTAGACCATGCTGGCTTCCAAAGATTGTTGGTAAATCTGGGATAAGGGGTGAATTCTTGATTTTGTACTCCAATTGGTCTCATGTCCGGGCCCAGCTTGAACTGTAGTTTAAATGCCGAACAAGTCAGTGCTGAGTTTATAGGACCAGGTTCAATCGCACCCGAACAAGTATTCGACATGGTCATCAGCTAAGTTACATTTTTTTGCCGGACTTGGCCAGGCACTGGGTTGTCTTATACACCGGGTTCACCCCCTGAACAAGTCACTGCGCAGAATTTGTCCTTTTAACTGCTGCTATTATAGTGACATGGTCGGCAGGTAAAAGATACTGACCGACATTGTCTTCAACGTTGGCTTGGCCTAGTAGTTAAGCTGGGAGGCATACATAGTATATGTATGTATGCCCTGGGTTCAAATCCCGAACAAGTCATAGATTCGCGTTTTGAAAAGTTTTTTACTTACTGCAGGTAAAAGATACTGACTGACCTATGTATGCCGGTTTAAATCCTAAACAAATTTTTTACTTGCTACTATTAGAATGACATGGTCAGCAGTTAAAAGATACCGACCAACATCGTCTTCCACCGTTGGCTTGGCTTAGTGGTTAAGCTGGAGGTGTACAGAGTGTATGTATGCCTGGGTTCGAATCCCAGAAGTCACTTGCAGCGATCGCAACTCTTTCATTTTTGTAACTCTGGCTAAAATTTACTAATCAATTCTTACCGAGCTTGCAGACCCAGGTTAGTTGTCTTACGCTGGGTAAGTTACAAAGTGCCGAGCTTTCAGGCCAGGTGGATCATT